TTTCCCTGCCCTAGAGCCTGTGTGATAAAGATTAATTTGCTATTTCTGGGCCTGTGACATTTTTCATAGCCTCCTGCTGGCTGCTGCCTTGATGCTGAGCCTGGCTGGGCTCCAACCAATGGGATTAGCATTTTGGTCAGTGAGCGGGGACCAAGGGTATGTGGGACCTGCCCTGGAGTCAGGGATGGAAGAGCAAGGTACTTAGAGATTGGGCCATGTGCATGGAGAGAGTGGCACGATAGATATATTCATCTGGGCTCTAGTCCTTTGGAGGAGAACTAGCAGGTGTGGTAAAGTTTCTCAGAGGAAACATCCAGTGGACCCTTAAATTATGACTTTATTGAGCCAGAATCATTGATTGTCTCCTTGGAATTTGACCCCTTTTGCAGCTTGAATGTTTCTTACGCTTTTCTCTGAGCTCCTTCTTGCCTGCCACTATCTTGCTGGCAAGAAAGAGCCCAGAAGAGAATGCATAATTTGGGGTGATGACTTTTAAGAACCACAGAGACAAGGACAATTTTCAGCATGCTTCCTAGTCCACCAGCGTAAGGGTGGGTGTTCCTAGCCAGGATCTGGTGTGGTATCATGCTCTTTCTCTGACAAATCTGTCTTTGGGGCTAATAATTTCCTCTACCCCATCCCTGTACTCCAAATACCTCGCAGCAAACAAGCACAAACCCTGGATTGAAGCTGAGTACCAGGGCATTGTCATGGAAAATGATAACACCGTCTTGCTCAACCCACCACTCTTTGCCCTGGACAAGGATGCTCCGCTGCGCTATGCAGGTATGTGGGTAATGGGTTTGGGGGGAAGGAGTCAGGGAGGAGAGACTCGGGTCATCTCAGTGCTGGACCATAGCTGAAACCAGGGAGTAATAGCTTTACATCACTTCTGAACTACATCTTAGATGGAAGCCTTCAGCAAAGGGTAGAGCAGCCTTGGCCCAGTTCATTAGCCAAATCTGGGGTTCTGCAGGTGTTTTCAGCTAGGAGAAGAAATTGAGATTGAAGCCAGGAATGTCGGAAATGCAAACCTGTTGACTTACAAAGAATGCAGACAAACTCTTGTTTCCTTGGACACAATAGGACTCAGACAGGAAGGGACTATTAGCAGCTCCAAGCCCCTTTCAACAAGCCCTCCACTCTGAAAGGTCTGTCTAGGCTTTTCTCAGGATCCCATTTGCAGTTCCTGCCTAGGCTGTGTTTCATGCTTCTGCACTGCCGTGTCTCAGTTTATCTGGGAGGAGGATGCAGCACTTAAGGCTCTACCCTGGGGCTCAGGGGGCCCCAGGTTCCATTCCCTACTGCGTTGCACTTTTCCTGTGTGACCCTGGGTGAGTCTCTGTGTTTCTTTCTCTGCTCTGTTCCATCAGAGGGAGCACTGTCCTGCCTCATAAAGGTGCTGTGAGGAAAATGAATGAAAGCTTAGGAGGTGTTCAGGTGCTACAGCTGTGGAGCCTGTATAAGTATTAACAATATGTAAACCAGCCCACAGTTTATGTAGTTTGCACTAGCTGTTTACAGCTATGTCCTGTAACTGGGAAGATGCACTAGTTAAGATGCCTTCCCCCAGCAATGCCCATCACGGGCAGAACTTGTGGAGGGTGCTCTGTACCATTAATAGTACAGAGCTGAGGTAAAGAGACCCAGAGAACTAGGATTGTTCCCAAACTGGTAGAGGAGGGCATGAAAATGGAGAAGGTGATGGGGTAAAGGAAGGAGGATGTATGCAAGATGGAATGAAAAGGTGGGAGGAGAAGGGGAAAGGGAGAGAAGGAGAAGATGGAGGGACTTAGTGAGTTATAGCATGATGGTGAAGGGCTGGGTGGCAAGGGAAGAGGAGTTCTTGATCTCCTCACCAGAGTTTCTTTCTACCCCTCCATCGCTGTCCTCTGTACCAGGTGAGATCTGTGGCTTTCGGATCCATGGGTCAGGGGTGCCGTTTGAAGCTGTGATTCTAGACAAAGCCACAGGTGAGGGGTTAATCCGAGCCAAGGAGCCAGTGGACTGTGAAGCACACAAGGAGCACACATTCACCATTCAAGCATATGACTGTGGAGAGGGACCTGAGGGGACCAACACCAAGAAATCCCACAAGTGAGCCCAACTGGGGGGTTGCAACATGTTCCAGAAATCCAAGATGGAGCAGGTTACACAAAGAGAAACAAAAGTGCTGTGGAATTCCTTTCTTTCTTTGGTTGACAAGACCATCTCTGTAGCCTGGGTTTCACCCTTGTTCTCTGATGTCAGAAATTTCCAACACTTAAAGTCAGAGGACACCATGCAAGGGTGCACTGGCTGTTGATAACTGAAGGGATTAAATGGAGCCAGGCCCCTTAAAGTGAGGGACACTTAAAGATATGAGAGCTAGTGCCCTGTGCTGTTGTACAGGCAGAAAGCCCAGATTATATTGCTGTTACTGTCTCTCTTTTCCTCTCTGGAATTGGGAACTCCCTCTAGGTCTGTGGTGCTATAGAAGGACCCAGTTTCTATTTCCTGTCATTGTCTCTCATTCTGCGAAGGATAGGACCAAGGCTGGTGCAATTTAGGGAACCAGTCTTTGTGTTGCCATGTAGAAGACCTACAAGACCTAAGTTTTTTTCCAATCTGGTCTCTTGCTCCTCACTTAGTGCTGCTTATTCACCTATCTGTCCCCTCTAGGGCTACAGTCCACGTGCGGGTGAATGATGTGAATGAATTTGCTCCAGTCTTTGTGGAGAAGTTGTACCGTGTAGCAGTGACGGAGGGTAAACTGTATGACCGCATCCTGCGGGTGGAGGCCATCGATGGAGACTGCTCTCCGCAGTACAGCCAGATCTGCTACTATGAGATCCTCACCCCTAACATCCCTTTCCTGATTGACAATGATGGTGAGATCCTGCCCCTGGACTTTGTGAGACTGCAGTGCATGCCACTTCCCAGGCCCAGCCTCACACTCTCCTGGCCACCTTTGCCTGGCCTGTTTCCCCACCACGTACCTGTGCTATGTGGAACTGGATCCACTCTAGCAATCTGCCCTGGGGCAGAAACGGGAGAGATTTTGTTTCCAAAGGTGCAATTACATGCTACAGAGGAGGCATGAACACAGCACTGCATGAAGGCATGACTTTGGCTCTTCCTTGCTGTTATGATGAATCAAAAATAAGAGTGATTTTTTTTTTAAATGAAAATATTTATACTTTGTGTTTGTGTGGAGAGAACAGGAGCATTCCTCCTTCTCACTGACCTCCTCCCTTCTTTTTCTTTCTTTCTTTCTTTCTTACTTGCTCTTTGTGTGCATCTCTCTGCTCTGATAACCCCTCAGTCTCTCTTCACCAGGGAACATTGAGAACACAGAGAAGCTGCAGTACAGTGGAGAGCGCCTCTACAAATTTACAGTGACAGCTTATGACTGTGGCAAGAAACGGGCATCTGATGATGCCGAAGTGGAAATCCAAGTGAAGCCAACCTGCAAGCCCAGCTGGCAGGGTACACAGCCTCCTGTTATGCTTAACTCTGCCCTCTGCTGTTCTTCACCCTTCAACCCCTCTAACCATGGCCTCACCCCTCTCACATCTGGCTTCTCCTACCATTGTCCACCCAGTCCCTCTCCTCTTGTTCCCTCCCATCTCACACCCTAAATCTCTGCACCTACACGGTCCTTCCATCTCACCTAACTCATGCAGACCTGCATCTTAATCTGTCCTGGTGGTATAAAAACCCTAACTCCTGACCTTTTACCTTGCTTACCAAATATCTTCAGACAAATAGCTTATTGCAAATTTGAATGCATTTTCATATAGGTGCTTAAATCCAGGCACAGTCCATCAGATGCATATACCATCATCATATTACAAACCTTTTCAGTTATCAGGTCTGGTATACAGAGATGGTTGCCTGCATTATTGGTAAATTTCAAGTGTCAGGTTCCATATACGGTTTTTAAGTGCTAACCAGTTGTGAGTCATTATCTCAAGACATCCTGACTTTTTTAGATGTGCCGTGCATCCACAGGTCTGGCTGAAGTCAGTAGGAGCTAGGGTAATTCAACACTGATGAAAGTCCAGCATGAGCTGACAAAAGATGTTACAAATCCAAGGATTTTGATAGTGCAGTGCCAGAGCTATAAACACACAAAGCCCATGCTTTAATGTCTTGTGAAAACTTCCCCTTCAGTGATCCCAGCATCAGAAAACCCACTGGATGCATTAATCTTTTTTTTTTTTCAGTGTAGAAAGGCCCAATATCTGCTATTCCCAGGGAAAGATAGATGTGGCTGGTGCATGCTGGGCCTCCTGGCTTTGGAAGATCCTAAGCAGGACTGGGCTCCTTTCTTGTCCCTGACAGGCTGGAACAAGCGGATTGAGTACACTCCAGGTGCAGGAAGCCTAGCACTGTTTCCCAGCATTCACCTGGAGACCTGCGATGAGCCACTGTGGAACATCCAGGCCACAGTGGAGCTGCAGACCAACCACGTGGCCAAGGGCTGTGACCGTGACAACTACTCTGAGAAGTCACTGCGCAAACTCTGCGGTGCGTGTTGCTTCCTCACCTCGGGAAGCCAGGAGAGAACACCCTGTGCTACCCCAGCTCAACAGGAGCCACAACAACATCCAAGGCAACTTGCTCCCACCAAGGGAGCCACATGGACACAGTCCTTGTATCTTTAGTACCCCCTGCAGATACCTCTGAAGTCCCTGCCCTGGGGGAAGGTCACTGGGACCTCCCTCAATATGGAGAGGAGCTATGGGAATGGCCTCTGCATCCTGCTCTGCTGAAGGAGCCATTGGCAGCTCCTTCATTTCTTTCCCTTTCTAGTGGAGCTGGCAGCTATCCCCGACTATCCTGAGCAAAGCTACAGGGAGCCCCTGTGCATCCTCAGAAGCCCCCTGTGCACATCCCTCCTCCAGACAGATCCCATGGAGACCCTGGAGTGCCACATTCATTTGACTCCACCCATGTCTCTCTTTACTCTTCTGCGGTAGGTGCTGCCTCAGGGGAGATTGACCTGCTCCCTGTGCCCAGCCCCACAGCCAACTGGACTGCACGACTCTCTGTTCATTACAGCCAGGACAGCAGCCTCATCTACTGGTTCAATGGCAGCCAGGCAGCACAGGTGCCTATGGTCAATGGAGTGGGTGCCCACGAGGGGCTGAGTGACCATTTTACGCTGTCATTATGGTTGAAACATGCTGTGACACCTGGCAAAGGCAAGAAGGAAGAGGAGACGGTGATCTGCAGTACAGTGCGGAGTGGTGAGATATATCCCTGGGGACAAATCCCTTTCCTTTGTGGCTGACTTTCCTACCCTCCTACCCCCAGGGAACCCTGCTTCCAGAATAGACCCTCCTTCCAGCTGGGAATCTGTTCCCTGTTCTGGGCTGGAACAGACTATCCAATCCTGTGAGGGTGCTCTCCCTACACTTTCCCCTGCTAGTCAGGGTCCCATCATGAGTCCTGAGAACAATCTGTCTTGTCATGAGCACAGTGCAGGGTCACAGCAGTAGGAATGGTTTCCTCCTGGTGTGGCTGGATCCCTCTCCTCAGGCTAACCAAGCTGTCTGAGGGCCAAGATGCATTGGCTTAAAGGACTCCTCTTTAGTGAATACATCTTTCTCCATTTGCCTTGTCTTGCCTTGGCAGAGGATGGCTACTCGCACTACTCCTTGGCTGTGCATGGCTGTCGAATTGCTTTCCTCTACTGGCCGCTGCTGGAGAGTTCAAGACCTGTCAAGTTCCTCTGGAAACTGGAGCAGGTGAAAAAAGATCTACTTTCTTTTTCAGTCTCTCCCTATTTCTTCCCTTCTCTCACTGATCTGGATTTCTGTCTGTTGCAGGTTTGTGATGATGAATGGCATCATTATGCCCTCAACTTGGAGTTCCCAACAGTCACGCTCTATGTTGATGGTGTCTCCTATGACCCTGCCCTCATCCATGACAATGGCCTCATCCATCCTCCCAGGCAAGAGCCTTCACTCATGATTGGAGCCTGCTGGGCTGGTGAGTGTCTGCACTTCCCTCCCTGTGCCCCCACACCTTTCTTCCTCTTCTCTCCCTCTTTCTCTCTCTCTCTCCCCTTCCCCACCAATAAATGGAGAAAAGGGGTGGGTTGAAGGGGAAGGCTCAAAATAAACTTGTGTCTAATGCTGTGCAATTGCTAATATAATGAGAAAACTATGGCCAGCTCACAAGGCCTCCAATAGCACCAAAACCAATATAATACATTCACTCTATCAGCCCTCTCATGGGTTATCTCAGCGGTGACTCAGCCAGCCATGCCAACAGCAACCCAGTGGATAATGGCAATAAAATAATCAGCTTTTGCACATGCCCTTGGATGAATCCCATCTAAGGAATTCCTCAGTAGGAGTCCAGTTGCCGTAGCCTGTTCTTGTCTCTACTATGGGTTTATTGATATGGGCTGGTATACCATTAGGAACTGAATGGAGATGCCTCAGGTCATTTAGCAACCAGTGATTGTCAGATTGGAAAGTTTGGGCTGCAACAAACCAGGGGTCTGCTAGGTACTGGTGCCATCACTTTCTCCAGTTCCCTCACTAACTCTACAAGGTAGATTTTAGTTCCTCTGTTTCAAACCATCCAAAAATTCAGTTGCCATATAGATGATTCACAGCTGATGATACAAGCTGGGCCAGACACTTCTTGTAGTTACATTAGTCAGAAATGCTCCAGTGGCACAATGTCCTCTGGCCATGTGCAGAAACAAGAACTGACTGCCCTGTAACATCCTCTTGATCAGCATCTAGTTTTCAAAGGGATAAGCCAAGTGGCATGAGAACCTGGGTGAGGTCAATGAGAAACAAAACTGCTCAGTTCAATATTGTTGGAAGTAGGACAAATACCCCTGCTTTCACTTCCACCCCTGTCACTCAGGCACTAGGTTTAGCCTTGTTTCCTAGATTCTCTGGAACTGAAGGGCCTAGTGTTGAGCAAAATATCCCAGGGGTGTCTCTTTTTTTCCTGACTAATGCTGCCTGTTCTGAATTCTCACCCTTTCCTGACCTTGTAACTAGCCAGTTCCAGTGGGTGATGCTAAATCAATGGTATGTATGTCTTTCCTTTGCAGAGGAGAAAAACAGAGAGAAAAGCAGAGGAAATGAGAACTCCACAGATACTGTGCAAGGTATGGAATTGGAGCGAGGAGGTTCACCCGCTTCACCACACATGACTCTTATTCCCTTTTCGCATGGTGTTTGTCCCACTTGGCTCCCTTCCCTCCCCCATCTTCTCTAGAATGAAGGCCCTTGTTTTTTGGAGCCTTTTGGCTGACATATTTTATCTCTGTGGAGCATGAGAGGGCTGGTGGAAAGAACATAGTGCAGCTTGCTTTGGGGAGACTCCACTTGTTTGTTTTGTGAGAGGCAGATGTAAAATAGTGCTCACTGTTGGTCACCTGAAGTCAGTCTCCGAGCACAATGATGACAAAAGAGAATATGATGGGAGTGAGGCTGCTGCCCCTGAGACTGTCTTCAGGGAATTCTACTTTCCAAATGCCCTCACAGGGACCACAGAGAGCAAAGCAAGAGGGGCCAGGGAAACTCTCTGTCAAGGGCTCCGGCTTGGCAGACGCTTTTCTTGTTTTGTCTTCCTTAGTCTCTCCCTGTCTTGTCTGGGTTTCCCAGTCTCTCTCTCTCTCTCTCTCTCTCTTCCCCCTCCCCCTTTAACCCTTCCTTTTGGTTGTCATTGTCTTCCCATCCCACAACCCCCTTGTCTCTGTCTTCCTCCTTTCCTTTCTCTCTGTCTCCCTCATGTTCTTCCTTTCCCTCTCTTTACTCCACTCCCTCTCTTTCTCTCTGCCCCCTGTCTCTGTCTCTCATGTCCTCCTCCTGCTGTGTTTCCCTTAGGAGACCCTCTGCCGATTCATCACTACTTCCATGGTTACTTGGCTGGCTTCACCGTGCGCCCCGGCAGCCTGGAAAGCCGGGAGGTGATTGAGTGCCTCTATGCTTGCCGTGAGGGGCTTGACTACAGTGACTTTGACAGCCTTGGCAAAGGGATGAAGGTATGCTTTCCCTTCCCCAGCTTGCATGACCCTCCTCTCCCCAACCCCTACTCTGCCCTCCAGGGTTTTGCTTGCTCCTACCATGCCCCTGAATCTCCCTCTGTTCTTCCTTTGCATCTTCCTTAGCTACAAGTGTCAGTGTTCATCATGGAATACTAGGTTTTGTTCCTTCTTCTTCCCCTTATAGGTTCATGTCAACCCTTCCCAGTCCCTGCTCACTCTAGAAGGTGATGACGTGGAAACCTTCAACCATGCCATCCAGCATGTGGCTTACATGAACTCCTTGCGCTTTGCCACACCAGGAGTCCGCCCCCTCAAGCTCACCACCACAGTCAAGTGAGTGGAAAACCTCTCTTATCAGGACCTTCAGCTAGGCAGACCTGTTGGGAAGGCTGTCTTGCAGTGTTTAGATCTCTCTTGGCTGCTTGTTACGATTACAAGCAACACTTTCTGCCAAACGCTGGCTTATCATTTGGTTCCTTTTGTTGTTCTTTAGTTTCAGGTTGATGCTGTCCAGAGCACAGGGATATACTGGGGTGGAAAAAAAGAATCTGTGAACACCTGCCTTGGTGTCTTGGGGGTGGTACAGATGCCCGATCAGGGATCCTGGTTATTAGCAATACAACCCTGTTCACTCGCATTGGTCTTGCTTCCACCTGTGAAGCAGGGCTTGTGGTGATATCATGGTGCCACTCACTGCTGGGACAATTGTTTGCCCAAAACACAATGATGTGATTCCCAGAGCATGGCTGTCCAGAACACAGGGGGCTGTGGGGAAGTGATTAAAAGGTAGCTGTCATGGGATCAACCATGACTTGTGGGGGCAGCATTGAAAGGGAGAGATGCTCCCTCTAGGACAGGAAAGGCTGAGACAGGTTCCCTCCTTCTATCAGGTGCTTCAGTGAGGAGTCCTGTGTGTCCATCCCTGATGTGGAAGGCTACGTTGTGGTGCTGCAGCCTGATGCCCCCCAGATCCTGCTAAGCGGCAATGCCCACTTTGCTCGTCCTGCATCAGACTTTGAGAGCCCTGATGGAGTTGCCCTGTTCCCCAGCCTCCAGATCACCTGCTCTGTCTCTCACCAGGTGGAAGCCAAGAAGGATGAGAGCTGGCATGGCACAGGTGAGCAAGATACAAGGAAAAAATAAGTCCTGCACAAGCAGGAAGTGAGATAACATAGCAGGGAGTGAGGTTACTTAGAAATTGGGAGTGATGTTTAAAGAATGGATTATTTTGCTCAGAATTGAAAAGGTGAGGTGCTCAGAAGCAGGATGCAGTCCCTCTGAAAACAGTATGCTGGGTTCTTCTCTACAGTACCATTTTTTTCCATATTCTTCTCCCAGTTTCCTGCTTTTATCTCCTCCCACACTTTTGCCTTTCCCTTCAACAGAATCAAACACCTCACATTTTTCCTCTGCCACTCCCTACCACTGAACCCACTCAGTCTCCTCTTACTTTTCTGTAGTTCCTCTCCTGCTTCCAACATTCCCCTGCCCCACTTCATCTCCTTGTAGGTCACCCATTCCCCTGTATTTCCCAGTTTTTTCAACATCTTGCCCTCAACTTCTTCCCACAACCCTCCCAGGTTCCCTTCCTGCACATCTTTCAGTCTCCTCCTCTACTTCTGAAGTTTTCTTCTGGTTCTCACATTTCTCACTTTGCTCACCAATTCCTGTCAAACTCCCAAAGCGACAGCCATCTTTCTTGAGGGCAGCTTTGCTTTAGCTTTATTCTACATAAGAGGAATTAGTAGTCTTTGTTACTGGGGGCAATCTCACTTTCCCCATGCAGGAAGGGCTAGCTTGTCTGAGGGGAGGATGGTTTTAGTTCTCCTAAAAACAGTGGGGTATGACTAAGAGATCATTTAAAAGACTGCTGCTAGCAACGGGATTTGGGGGATACTTTGTGTCTAAGACTTGTGACACACTTGTGAGAGTCAGCAATGATGCTGTATCATCAGGACTATTAGAGGCGAGATGTGCTGTTACTAAAAATCCCCAAGGTGGCGCATTGTCAGAACACGAAGCAAGCAGAAATAGTGTAACTAAGAATAGGAAGTGACAACCTTATCAGCAAATAACAACTTTACAGACAGAAAGCGATTCCATGCACAACATGAAGCAACAGGTTGTGCTGCACAATGGCATTGTGTAGTAGAGATGTAACACGGATGAGTTCTTGTATTCAGCCAGTGTTGCATACTCTCCCCATTCTGAGCTGTCACCTTGCTTTTTTGATCTTTTTGACCCTTCACTGTCTGCCTCCTTCACCCTGTCCCTTCTGTCCATCTCAGTGACCGACACACGCATGTCAGATGAGATTGTGCACAACCTGGACGGCTGTGAGATCTCACTGGTGGGAGACGACCTGGACCCAGAGAGGGAGTTCCTGCTTCTGGATGGGTCCACCCTACAGCAGCGGGGTTTGGATCTCATCAACACTTCTGCCTACCTCACCATTGCAGGTAAACCTTGGGCAGGACTTCTGCCTCTACCTCCTCCCTTTCCTGTCAAACACTGCTGGGACAATTGTTTCCCACATGTTAGTGAGGGAAAAGTCTCCGCATAGCTCTTGAGTGCAGAGTAGGGTGTCCTCATTCTTGGGTGCCTGAATGATGTATGCTTTGAGGCGATGACATCCCAGATTCAAGGAACTAGAGTATGCTCAATGAGCTCCTTCCTTTTGACTTAGTTTCACTTTATTCTTCTTAGTTTTCACTTTCCCTTTGTGGTTTGCATCTCAGAAGCCAGCAGTGTTCTGCTTCATCTTCCTGGGTTTTGCTTGATCTTGCTGGTTGTGTGTAGGTGGGATTCCTAGTATGGATTAGGAACCTGATGGCCACTGCTAATCCATCCTCTCCAGGAGCATTTCTAACAGCTGCCAGGGGTTTCACAGGGCTTTCAGGGAAGAGCCACCCCTAAGCAGCTTCCTTTTCCAAGCCTTTCTTTAGACTCCCCCACAGCTCTTAGACTCAACAGGAGTGCATCAATAGGAGCTGTGGCATTTGGAAGTGGGAACTCCTTTGCCCCAGACCTGACTCTTTTCTGACTCCCAGGTGTGGAGAGCATTGCAGTGTATGAGGAGATCCTCCACCAGGTCTCATATCACATTCGCCATGGCGCTGCCCTCTATGAAAGAAAATTCCGCCTTTCCTGCACGGAGATGAATGGGCGCTACTCCAGCAATGAGTTTACTGTTGAGGTACAAGGGCTCTGTGCGTGCACATGTGGGAGAGCTGTGTTACAGTGAGTATGAAGACCAATTCCTCTCTTGTCCTCCCACAGGTGAATGTCCTGCACAACATGAACTGGGCTGCTCATCCGAACCACATCCTCAGCTCTCAGCAGCTCATGCACCGAGGTCACCATCTACCCCCAGAGCTATCTGGGCACAGTTTGGCCAATGTCCACCGCAACTCCAGTATGTAACCCTGCTGCTGCCTTGCAAGGGCCTCCAAGCAGAATTGCTCAGACACCTGCATCTTCATGCTGACCCCAGAGCTAGGAGACACTGCATTGCAGGAAATGGCATGGATCAAGGGTTGGCAGCTTATAGCCCATGGAGCCATTTGATTTGGCCTGTGGACATAAGGCTTTGGTGGTGTAAGGCAATGGGGTTTTTGGCAGCAGTGGCTTGCCCATGCCGCCTGACACCTACTCACCTCCCCACCCCTGACCTGAATTGGGTCAATCCAGCCCACAGTCTTAAAAGGTTGCCAACTGCTGATATAGATGGCTTATTAGGGGTGGGCTCTCTTTGAAATCAGCATTAGCCCTAGCACCTCAGAGTGGTCCTATAGTAGAGCTGGGCTCCTGATGAAACATGAAACCAACATACTGGGTGGTTCTTTGGCACCAGTCCCTTGGGTCAGGCTATTAATTCTGAAATCCTGGTAAAACTCTGTATCTGGAAGCCAGAAAGAATATCCCTAAGTTTCACCCCAGCCCTACAGTTTCAGGTATGCAGATCGCTCTCTCTGGCTCCTTATCCCACCCTGTTATTTTTGAGCAGCCCAAACCAGAAATGTCTGCATTTGAATTTTGGGTGAAGCAATCCCCACACTGTCATTGTGCCCATGTGTGTGGAGAAGGGGTCAGCAACCTGGTCTGCAGAGCCAGTGGATTTGACACATGGAGCAGAGGGTTTGGTAGCAGGGGGCCTTGTCATTTAGATTCACCAGCACTGCACTATGGTTGGGTGAAAGGGAGCTTTGCCCTGGCAGTGCTGCAGCTGGGTGGCAGGGAGATGCAACACGAAGCAGTAGTGGCAGTAGCAGGGTCCTAGCACCAGCCCATCTCAAACTTGAGCTAGGCCAAAGCATTGCTGATGGCTGGTGTAGAGCACTTGGAAGCTTTTACCTGCCAGAAACAAAGAAAAGCAGAGTTGTGGGCTGATGCTGCCACATTTTGTGTGACCTAGAAAGCTGCATATTAACACAGATCCTGAGACACAGCATAGTGTGGGTGCTAGAAACCAAAGAGCAGAATCAAGGCTGAGGCTGCTCAGAAACAACCACTGGGACTAGGTAGTCATCAGTAAGAATGAGGAAACAGTTCCATGAGCAAGGGGGCTGCAGAGATGGTGGCTGTGGCTTCCACAGGGGGAGCTGGTGGAGGCAAGGAGGAATGGGTTGGAAAGCAAATCAGTGACCCATCAGATATACCCCATCTACTTTATCCTTGCTTTCCATTGGCAGTGTGGCACAAAGCCAGACCATTTGACCACTGGAGGATTCCCCTTGCATTAAGGAGTCACGGGAAGGGACATGGAACTGCCAGAGTGGCCCCTGCATTAATCCCAGCCCTTGGCTGGGCTGTCCATGTTCCTGGTCCTGTAACTGCTCTACAGGGGTGGGGACAGCTGCTACAAGACTGCCCCAGTTTGTACTCTTCCTGTCTTCAAACTATCTCTGTAGTGCCTCTGTCCACAGCACAAAGGTAGTTTTAGCTTTACCTTTGCCCCTCCCTCCTTCAGGTGAGTGCAGCGGAGCCAGATTGGAGAACCGGCCTTTAAGTTGGTAATAGTGGATGGAGTGAGTCAGCAGAGTTTCAGTAAAGGACTCTGCGGGTCAGGACAGAAACCAAAGAGGCAGGGAAATTGGGGTAAGGCTGAGAGGGCCCATGAGAAAGCCAAAGCTTATCTGTGCAGAGGCTGTGGAAGGAACTAAGGACCATTGCAAGCCTCTCCAGCTTCAAGAACAAAACATGTTATTTTAAGCTTGCCTTTAATACACTTTTATATAGAACCATCTTTCACCTACCCTTACACTCCCTTTCCCCATAAAAAGCTAAACCCTGCAAAAACAATGCTTCATGGCATGCATTTCTTCCCCAAGGGAGAGGATGAAAAAACAAACACCAGGTGCCAGGTGAATTGCAACTTTTTGAGGCACTAGGAGGTGTTCATGAGGGTTGGTGGTCATGCACTGTAGGACCCCAAAAGGAACCAGACAGCAGGCTCAGCACATACATTATCCAGGGGTAGCTAGCAAGGATGGGATGCTGGGTAGGAAGCCCAGGACTGGCCCTGCAGAAAGGCAAGGAAGAGCCAAGTCCAAATTCTTGCCCTGAGAACTTCCACAAGCCTCCCTGATGGCCTTGGCTTCTTAAGCCTAAACTTAAGGCAGGCTGGGAACATGTGTTTACTTGATACCTGTAACGTGTTGCTTGTCTGCCTTTCTCCCACAGTGGTCCCCAGTGCTGCCACTATCATCATTGTGGTGTGTGTGGGCTTCTTGGCACTCATGGTAATCCTGGGCATCCTACGTATCCACTCTCTGCATCGCCGGGGGGTTGGACACGAGGCCCCAGGGGCCGCCACAGGGGGCCAGATGGGAGCCAGCACCAAGGAAAGTGATATGTTCTGGGATGACTCATCCCTCACCATCATTGTCAACCCCATGGAGGTGAGAAGGGGAACAGAGATGGGAGGGAGGGCTGGCATCTGAGTGGAGACTGAAGCTCTAGTGCCCTTCACTCACCCTCATGAATGATCTCTTTGCAGTCATACCAGAGCTGCCAGGAGAGGACAGCAGACAGCAGGGAGGCCAAAGTCAGCGAAGGAGCAATGAAAGATGATGATGATGACGAGGACGACAGCAGCGATTCAGATACACCTGACACCCCAGGCACTGACGATGCAGATGACCGGCGCACCATGGGCAAAAGAGACGTGCCCCACTGTTACTAGGGGCCCTGCAGTGGAGGGAGAAGGGGAGGAGGATGCTAACCGGGTGGATTCCCCCAACTTACAGCCTAGCGGGGAAGTGACAGCTTCTCTTGAGTCTTTCCCACTGTCCTTTTAACCTTGCCCTTATGCATATTTTCTCCCGTTGTTTTTCATCTCCCTGCCCTACTTTTCCCTCTTCCTTGGCCATTTTCCCTGGGGGCACAGAGCCCAGCAAAAGGCACTTAGACCTTCCCACACTTGTGGCCCCCTCTTCCTGTGTGCCACTCCCCAGAAAGGCAGGCTGGGACAGGGGAACTCTGAGCCTGCACTTTGATTCCAGGAAGGAACAGAGGGGAGAGATGCACTAGGGAAGAGATGCCCAATAGAAGTGGCTGACTGAGCGGAATCTGTCACAACCCCTGTGTATTATATATATTGTATATTTTTTCAATGTTGTTGTTCAAGGATTATTCTTGTTTGACGCACAACCCTCCCCGCTCTGCCAAAAAACACAAAAACCCAGCCCTCCCCAAACTCCCAAGCCAACCCTGCAGCTTGTGTCGCTTTGTAAAATTGTCAATAAACCTAAAACAAACAAGTGAAGGACAGAGGAGGGAATGAAGCAGATTTTAAAATAAAAGGATTTAAAATAAAACAGCCATGGCCTCTGGTTCTTCTTTGGGAGAGAGGAAGCAGAGAGGGTGCTTCAGGGTAGCTTAGTCTCTCACAGCCTGGCCTGCCAGGCAAAAGGACATGATTTTCAGTTCTTTCAAATTAGCACATTCCAGGGCTATTTGCCTCCCTCAGCTGAGGTCACCCACTCAGTCAAAACAGGTCTTGATTGTCAAGAATCTGGCCCTGGTACAGAAAGCCTGGGGTGCTGGGAAAAGATCAGTCTAAAACAGTTCAAATACTTTAAAATACAGTCATTTTTCTGTAAGAAAAACCCTTTCTTTACACTCAGTGCATTAATTTTAAAAAATCCTTATCTCGACTCCCTGTATTCGCTATGAGTGGGTCATTCACAGGCACAAGGATCCCAGGTCACAGTTACTGGCCCTAGTGTCACCATGCCTCTTGGGGGGAATAGCAGAGAGGATGCTGCAGGTCCTTCCCTCCCCATGTTCCAGAACAGATCCAAGCAAGACAATGGACAAAGGAACACAAGCTGCCAGCAGTTTTCCCAGAGCAGGCTGTCCCCTTCTCAGCCCAAAGCCTCTCTTACTCCCCCCATCGTCTCCTGCAGTAATGAGGAAGGGGGTGCTGGGTTAACTGCTCAGCTGCTCAATAGTTTTGTGGGGAGAGAAAAGGGAATGGCCATCTTTAATCCTCTAGAGTTTATGGATGCTGCCTGCTGATTACCTGAATGGAGGACTGTGCCATGGGATGCATAATCTGTCAATTAAACTTGAAGAGCTCCTTGAAAATGGACAATACAGAATCTTAAGAGTCTACAGAGACCCCAGGGATGGAAAAAGACCTCTGCCTGGTGCAGGATTTCACTCAGATTACATTCCTCTCCCCATCATTTGCTACATGTCCAGCCACACCCATCAGGGCCAAGCATTAGCCCCAAGAGTAGTGGAGCTCCTAGGTTCATTATTTATACTTGTGTATTTTCTTCTGTCTCTTAAAGCTGTATGATTTTGTACTTTGCACTTTGAGCCCCCTGCTGTGCACAGTCTGGCATATTCATTGACACCTTGGAGCACAGATAAGTTAGTGTCCCTGTTGAGAAACCCCGGAGGCAGCACAATGCCCAGTGGAGTTAAAGACACCGCACACACACAAACTACCATGACATGGGAACACTGTATCCTGGCAGCAGAAAACAGATGTTGCAGCAAATGCACTCAGCATCGCCCAGGTCCCCTGCTATGCAATGTACAGTGCCAACGAATAGAACATGCTGATTTCCAAGGCCTTGCATCCTCAGCCTACATCCAGCAGCCTCTCAAAGGGGCTGATGTGGGCATGCGTGGTTACAATTTAGTGGCCAAGTGGATGATCAGTTCATAAGTAGCCATTGTGATAGCCGTGTTGGGGATCTGGCGGATCATTTGAGCCAGGAGTCCTCGGTAGAGAGCCAGCAGTCCCTCTTCCTGGACTACCAGACGCAGGGTCTGCACAAAGGAGCAATACCTGGACCCTTCTTCCCTTAGCCGTGTCCGGATAACCTCTGGGGAAACAGAAAGACAGTAATAATTGATTTGCCCTCCAGGCCTGGCTTTTCCTCGTAGGGGCTGTCAAAGGGGCTATGCTCACCATGTGGATATGCGATACATGAAGCGCATGTCTTTGAAACAGCAGCAGCTCCCATCAGTCCAAAGAAGTCAAGGGTGTCAGTAGGAAGACCCAGGGCTGGGGAGAGCAGTGACTGCTGCTCCCTCAGCCGCTGTTTTATTGCCTCGTAGATGACAAAATGGATCATGGTCTCAGAAACACCAGCGTAGGAGGCACTTATTCCACGGTAAAATCCCCGCAGGCCCTCAGTGCGGTACACGCGCATGGCACACTGGAGGGCATTACAGCGCGTGTCCTCCTTTAGCCTGCAGAGACCAAGTGGGGTGGAAGATTAGAATCTCTCACTCAGTAACTACCCACCCAATACGAGCCATGGCTATGCCTCCCCTGGCCACCCCATAAAACTGAGTGTGAAAACTCAGTAATATCTGTTGGTTTCTACCATGTGCTGAAAGTGCCGGTACTGTTAGCTGGTCACCTTCCCTAACTTCTTGTGAACAAGGTGGCTTCTTCCTCCTTTTACCTGACTTCCAACTGCATCCTGGTCTTCACCAGCCAGATGGGGTTGGTCAGTGTTGCAGAGGTGACTCCTGGTGAGAATAAAGGAAGGATCAGAGCTTAAGGCAGATGTCAGGGTGGTGCTGAGAGCTCATGTGGAGTAACCACTGGATTGCCCCTCTGAATGATGGTTAACAAGCCATTGCAGTATGCCAATTTGAGAAGGTCTCAGGGGTCTCTTGAGAAGGAAAGGTTTTAGGGAAGGGTCTGTTTAGCTCTCCCTGCCTTGCAAGGAATCCTCCTTTCTACATCTCTCACTGAAGTTCTGCTTCCTGCTCACAGTCCCTGAAACCAGGAAAAGGGAGGCTGAAGCTGAAGTGAGAGACAAGGATCAGCAAGACTTTCCTGAAGATGGAGGGTTTCAGAGAGAGGAAGGACAGCATGTGCAGGGAAACAATCTGGGATGCTGGGGGTTGTGTATGTGGTTTGAATGACCTGCCTGTTTTCCCTTGTGGGGTGCTTTCTTTCCCTTAGTAATCAAGGGGCTAAGGTCTAAATCAATTACTTTAAGAAGGTGAAGGTAAATTAAGAAGGTGACCTGTTTCCTGCTAAGTTTTGTTAACCCACGGAATTAGCTGTGCTAGGATGGTGTAAGAGAAACTGCTTTAGAAGGGTCAGTCAGCAAAGTAATGATAGGGCTCGAGCAGTGACATTGGGGTGGAGCACATCCCCCACATGCTGACAGGTACTGCAGGCAGCAGAGGCCCATTGGTGTCATCTGGAGTGGGGAGCAGCTCACCTGCGCAGGCCGCTGAGAGCATGTGCACCTTCTTGGACTCAGGTTCAAATATAACATTGAGCTTCTCCTTAGCTCCAGAATAAGCAGCAAAATATACAGCTCTGGTTGGGGAGAGAAATACACCCATGTTTAGGAAACACCTGGGAGGAACAGCAACAACACCACGGCATGAGAGACTCTGCATTGATGCTACTTGGGACACCATAACCCTTCGCCACCAGGTGTCAGTTTAACCCCACAAGCCAGGGTAAGGGGTTTCCAGTGAGTGACCCTCTAGCAGTCCTGGAGCCTGTACTGTGTGCTGGGCTCTGGGTACTCTAGGAAGGTATGGCAAGGCCCTGCAGGAAGAGTGAAGCCTAGGGAGATCCAACAGAATAGGGACAAAGCCAGGCATGGGGGACACGGGCAGTGTTGAATTCTGGATGCCGTGTGATTACAATCATGCAACTGCCAGCAGCAGCTGTTTTTTCTCAACCTTCCGCTCCAGCCCCACACCAAGGTGCCTAGGGTGGTTACCCTGTTCACCCTGCCCTAGTTACACCACTGGAGAGACCTCTTGCAAGGGATGGGGGATCATCCTTAGCAAGTGATTCTTACCTGGATGGGGCAACCCCAACAAGGGTTGGACCCAGACCTCGGAAGAGGGAGCCTATCCCTTCCTTCTCCAGGATGGTCCTGTGGGAGGGAATGAATGAAGGTATCAGAGGAGAAAAGAGACAAGGCTGTTTGCTCTGCCCATCCTCCTGCCTCTCTCCTCTTTCCCCTCCTCCTTCCCATTCTCTGCATCTTTCTTCCATCTCTCTCTCTCTCATTGTTTCTATTAACATCCTCTCCCTCCACTTCCTCAATTTCCTCCCCTTTTTATTTTTTCAGCTCCCTCCCCACACCTGCCCTCTGCTTTTCCCATCTGCTGTGTTCACAGCCTGTTTATTCAGTAAGAGTTGTAAACTTTGCCCAGCTTCCCAAAGCCTGGAGACAACCTAAACGAAAGGAGACAACTTTGCGCCCAGATGCCCTTTCTTCTCCTTGCCTTCATCAAGTTTCAGACCAACCCCCACTTCCATTATTTATATTCTTCCTCAACCTGTCCACTTTCACATGTCAGCCAGCCAGTTACTTCTAAGCCTGGTCGCCCCTCCACCCACCTGCTTCCTTGCCAGTCCCCAAATGCCCTCCTGGTGCTAAATGAAGTCACCGCCTTCCCTGCTCACCTCAGCAGCCTAAGGACTCCTATGGAAGGAGGTGCTGGTCGCATTAATCCTGCACTCACCCCCTGCAGCTGTACCTCAGACAAATACAAGGGTCGCAGGGCCAATGAGGAAGACTGTAGACGTGTCTTCACTACTTCTAGGGGGCAGGTCAGGATGGCTCCAGCTGTGCCGCCACATCTGGGGAGAAAGTCACGGGAGAGCAGAGTGAGTAAGCATTACTTCTACTCAGCAACTGGGAGCAGTATTGATGATCCTCTCAACCCCCCATTATGCTTCCATAGTCTCAGTGCCCTAGCCTGCATCATACAAGGCCTCCTGTTCTGACACTGATTAACATACTGATGCATTGGCTCAAACATTCCCTGGACAGCTGCCCTCAGGTGACAGCATCAGAGATGAGCTGAGTCCTAAGTCCATGGGGGAACTCAAAACCTGTGACCTTTGTTTTTGGAGCTGCCCAGATTAAATAGTTCAGAGTCCAGTCCCACTTCAAGGTCTCCTGGTGATTTCAGGAGCTGACCTGCTGGTTTCTGGAGATTGTATCCCCCGCAGCACTGAAGAGTAGTTTTTGCTGGGCAGTGGCAGGCCAACCTGTCTTTCACACATTACACATTCACCACAAGCCTCAGCTTGCAGGGCAGGAATCCCTTTAAGACTGTGACCCAGTCAGTCCTGCACTTTTGCTGAAGCTGCCAACTAAGGGGCCAGTTAACAACAGTTGCCACCAGCCAGCTATTGACCCAGCTGGTTTCAAGCACCTACACTGAACACCTTCAAGAGAAAATTGGATGCTTATGTTGCTGGGATCCTATGACCCCAGCTGACTTCCTGCCCCTCGGGTGGGGGGCTGGACTCAATGATCTTCCAAGCCCTAATGTCTATGAAATCTATGAACATCTTTGTGCCTAACAGACATGAATGACGTTTGCTTCCTGATGACCTATGATTGGACTGGAACTGGTGTCCTAAAAAGGGAAAGGCATCATATTCCTTTTCCAGTCTCCCAAGGCCAGGCACCCCTCACAACCTAAAGCCAGACTGGAACCAAACTGCCTTATGTTCAGTTCCCAGGGTTCATGCATTCAGTGCCTTCGGCTGTGGGCTCTGAGCCTGCACAACCCATCCAGTGGTGCTTCAAAGGTTTTACCTAGATGAATTTCCAAAGGGTGACTCTTGGCTTCAGTACTAACTGGTAATGCAAGACCTTGGGTGAGCTGATAGTTTTTAAGTCTCTGTTTATGACTAGCTTCACTGTCCCCTGCTTTCTGCCATAAGGGACATGAATGGTAAAATTCTTACCCAAGATCCCAGGAAATGAAGCTGCCAGAGGTGTATGGGAGGTAAAGACAGCATGACAACTAAAACAGCAGTTCTATACCTTTGCATACTCGAGACACCCCTCGAAAACCTTGAGGCACCACTTGGAAAATGCCAGCTCTTAGTTTTCACTCTTTTTGACTACAGAATAACAACAGAGATTTTTCTGTTTGCAAAGAACTCAGAAAGATCACAATAGGTTTGAGTGTTTTTTACACTATGGACTCCTACTTGAAATCTCTGGGTTTATCTTGTGCATCATGTTTGCACCCCTAACAGTGCTAACACTGTGTAGCACCCTGCAGTGCTCTTGAAAGGACTGCAAGGCACCCCAGGGTGCCATAGCCCCTGGTTGAGAATCACTGATCTAAAGCATTTAACTTGGTAAAGGAAAAAATGAGCCAAAAAGATTAGAGCTAGGTGTTGGGAGGGCCTTTAGACTGGAATAGCAGAGATGGATCAAAGGCATCAAAAGAGCTGTGCAGGGGCACAGAATGGGAATAGCTAA